GGTTTGTGTGCCGGACTCTTATGTTCTCACAATTGCCCAGTGAAGGAGCGGGTGTGATCCAGTATTCAGATAAGGAAATGAAGGCCTGCAGAGTTCCAGGAGCGTGCCCAGATCACACGGCTCCCTCCCAGCCGGAGTTGGGGCTCTGCCCTCCCCCCCTCCCCCCGAGACACATGCCTGCTCCTGATCTGATTCTCGGGTTGTGAGTCGAGAGAGAGCCCGTGCAAACCCCAGTCGTCCTAACATCGTTCCAGCACACAGTAGACCTCCATTCATTAGAGGCTTGCTGGGTGAGCCTTCATTCCACTGCGCCCACTCAGCCAGCAGGATGTCAGCCTTTGCCTGACGATGTGTCTTCCGCCTGTCCTTCAGCGCTTCATATGCATTCCATAAATGAACACTTCATTCGCATACTAATCCTCTAAATATTCTTTAAGTGGCAGGGACATAAAGGTTCCCTTATGGGAGTAGTTGACATTGAAGGTTCTGGTTTCATTGAAGATGGGTTGTCAGACACGAAGCTCTGAGCTGCTCAGCACTTGACTGGTTCTCAGTAGCACACTGGGAAATAATTGAGACTTTTTGTATCTCACAGTCAGTGCTGGTAGCATGGCGCGAGCCTTTCTCGGTCAGGAAGAAAGTGGCTGCTGTAGCTGCTGTATCAGGCACCTCTGCTGTCGTGCCAGGCTAGGCGTTAGTGTGCTGTCTCTAACACAGATCCGTACAGTAGTGTATACACTTAAACCTACTTCTGATAGTCGCGCACTGCTGGCATACACCTTTATCCCAGCACTCAGGAGGCAGAGGCAGGCGGATCTCTGAGTCTGAGGCCAGCCAGGACAGTTCCAGGACAGCCAGAGCTACAGAGAGAAATCCTGTCTCAAGACTGGTTAGGGCTTACAGTGCAGCTCAGGGGGCTGGCACCCACAAGCCCTGAGTCCAATCCACAACCAAAAAATGTCTCCCAGCAAATGTTTTTTTATAATTAAAGAAGAAAAAAGGCCAGCAACGGTATTTTAAGAGAGACTAGAATACCCAGCAGATTGCAAATGTGGAAACGCAAACACTCCGCGAGAGCGGTAAGGGGATGTGTGCGTTTATATGTGGATCTGTGCACTGGGTAACAGGGCCCTAGGGGGCCCGAATTCCAATGGTTGTGAGTCATGTGACATGGGCCCTAGGAACCAAGGGTCCTCTGGAAGAGCAAGTACTCTTAGCCTCTGAGCTCTCTCCAGCCCTCCAAAGCAGGTGAGTTTTATATGAACCCAGTTCAATTCCTCCTCCTCACATAGTCTCACACCCAGGGTTTTCACCTCTTGTGCTGGTCAGAGTGATGTTCTTCTTGGCGTGTCTGCGCTCTGAAGTGTGTGGGTTGTCCCTAGTTCATAAGTGTCATGGAGTATGTGTTGTTACCACAGAGGAAGGTGGACGGTCTGTATGTTCTAAAATGCTCTACTGTCTAGGCGCAAGGTATTTAGTGTGACTTGGCTTGCGTTTTATCTTTTGCTTCCTGTATGCACTGCTACCTTGTGTCTGGGAATAGGCAGCTTTTTAGTAGAGTGTGTGATTAGTAGGTGTGAGGCTCGGGGTTCGATATCCAGTACTGTAAAATAATAATAGTCTGTTTTATTTGAAAGAATAGTTACTCAAAGTCCCTTTGGGGGCACTGGACTTGTAAAGACTTGTGAAGTTCAGGGAGTCACTCATGAGCACGCAGACCAGCCTTCTTTGACCCTGCCTTGGAACAGCTATCAGGAGTTTTGCTCTTTTTTTTTTTTTTCTCTATTTTTTAAAAGATTTTATTATGCCAGGCAGTGGTGGTGCATGCCTTTAATCCCAGCACTCTGAGTTCGTGGCCAGCCTAGTCTACAAGAGCTAGTTCCGGGACAGGCACCAAAGCTAGCTACAGAGAAACCTTGAGACAAGGTTGAGACAAAAAACAAACAAAAGATTTTATTTATTATATATACAGACTATACAGTGTTTTGCCTGTATGGATGCCTGCGTGCCAGAAGAGGGCAGCACCAGATCTCAGGCCAGTGCTCTTAGCATCCGGGCCACCTCTCCAGCCTCTCTTCAGGGTTCTAAACATAGTTTTCATTAGTTGAAATCTTAGTGGGTTTTCTTTTTTTTTCCCTTTAATTTTTAATAGCGATTTTTTTCTTCCTACTGATTGATATTCTCTACAGTGCATTATGCTTAATGCTCATCCCTCACTGACTTTTGAACCTCGAAAAGTAGTTTTCCTTTCTTGCCTTTTTCTTTTCTTTTCTTTTCTCTTTTTTTCCTCCTTTGAGTCAGAGTCTCAAACATCCGTAGCTGGTCTCAGACTGGCTGGGTAGCTTGAGATGACTTTAATCTGATCCTCCTGCCTCCTCCTCCCGAGTGCTAGGATTACAGGTGTGCGTCCCAATACCCAGTGCTCAGGGTCAGGCCTAGGGCATCATCAGTCGACCAGGACAACTGCCCTGCGCTCTCAACCTAAAAACATTGTTCTTTTCCTAAGACAGTGCAAAAGAAATGACGGCTTTGTGTGTAAAAGTGACGGCTTTGAGATGTGTTGCAATTGTAATAAGTACCAACTCTAAACACACCGATGGTTATGTAATCTTAATTCTATACTTGATTATGAATTCCCGCCTCGCGAACGGCGGGCAGTGGTGGGTTGAAGTGTAGCCGCCTGTCTCAGCTGATACCAAGGAGGGCAGATAAAGATTGGAAAGGAGGCTTTTCTTCCAGCCCATTTTGGAAGTGTAAATGTGTGTACGTCTGTAACTGTTTCTGTGGATGTTCCCGTGCGTGTGCCCGACACTGAAAAGGCCACGAGTGGTTGGATCCCTGAGGTGGAGTTACAGGCCACTGTGAGCCTCAGTCCTCTGCAAGAGCTGCAATTGCTCTTAACCTCTGAACTGCATCCCCAGCCCCTCCAGTCCATCAGGAATATTTTTAAAAATTAGTATTATGGTGCGTGTATCATGTTTGTGTAGGCATGGGTACTATGATCGTGTGTGGAGTTCAGAGGAAACACATCTGTAGGCATGAGTGCCATGATCATGTGGAGTTCAGAGGACAAGTTAGTATCCACTTTTGGTGGTTTGTCTTTTTTCAAGTTTTATTTTTGAAGTGTGTGTGTGTGTGTGTGTGTGTGTGCGTGTACACGTCCTGGAGTCCAGCTCTGTGGGTTCAGGTCCCACAGAGAAGGTGTGGAATCTGTGGATGAAGGAGTCTGACACCTGAGAAACAGTCCCATTCTCGAGAGGACGTGACATCGTTCGTATGTGTCGTTTCCTCATCGCGGGCCTGTTCCCCCAAAGGGACGCTCCTCACATCTTACCGCTTCCATTCTGATGCCACCAGTGTGTACTCCCGTGTGTGGCAGGGGTTCCAGCCAGTCTAACTTCACAATGGAAGGCAGACCAGATCTCACCACTCATCTCGTAAGCCCCTAATCGTGGCACTATTCCGTACTTACTAACCTCTTACCTAAGTGGCCTTAGGCTCTGGGTCTGGACCCATTGTTTCTCTTGATGTGTTTTCTTCTCTGGGGCCCGATGTGCCCAGTTAGTAAATCTTTAACTTCCCCATTCCTGGTGTAATTCCAAAGAGTTACTTTGTTTAAAGAGACTGCCGTCGTATATATTCTCTTCTTTCGCCAACACGCACCCAAATTTCCCAAAAGAAAGGGCACAAGGACCCATTAAAAATGAAGGTGTGGTGCTGGAGAGTTTGGCCCGCAGTGTTGAAGTGCGGGAACTTTGTCCAGCGGCAGTGGTCATGTCAAGCCGTGCAGTCCACCCGCCACACACGTGCCGGGACAGGCTGGAGGAGAGTACAGGAGCTGGAGTTCCCGCAGTGGTCGTGAGTGACCCCACGTGGGTGCTGGGAGGGCTCTCAAACCCCAGACATCCCTCCAGCTCCAAGGTAGTATATTTTGTATATGCAGTGATTTTTCTAGCCCACCTTCTGGTCTTTTTTTGACACAAGGTCTCACAGGCTGATTGAACTCGTAGGGCTAGAAGTTAGTGCTTATTCCTTGGGAAGCACAGGATTCGAGTCCTCTTTTGACCTATTCAGGCACCAGGAATGTCTATGGTGCACATACATGTAGCAAAATGCTCATACATACAAAATAGCACTTTTTTTCTAATTTAAGGAAAAGTTTGTCCTTTTGGCTTTTCAAGACAGGATTTCCCTGTGTAGCCCTGGCTATCCTAGAACTTACCCTGTGGTTAAGGTGTTCAGAGTGGTCCTGAACCCAGAGAGCTGTCTGCCTTTGCCACGGGGGAGGGGGGTGCTAGATTAAAGGTTTGTGTCACTGCATCCAACCTCAGTGTTTCTGAGTTGCTCCTGGGTAGAATAAATGACTGAACTTTGGAATAGTTTAGTATAGCTATAGATGTTATTCTCCTCTTCATTGTCAAGAATCTTGCTTGTCCTACCTGTCTCTCTGACGCCTCCCCAAGGTTTAGGTAAACCAAAAAAGGGGGGGGTGCTAACAGTTGCTTATCCCCGGACTCTGGACTGACCCAGTGGACTGTCCCCAGTCAAGCTTTCTGTGGTGTTAAGTGGGCAAGAGCCTGTGGTCTTTAGGAACACAATGCTCCTTAGGTTGTTACACTGCTTTGTCCTGATAACCTGAGCCACTTTAATTGCCCGATGGGTCTCCAGAGAGCTGGTGTGTGGGTTCTCCGAAGCAGGTAATTCACCCAGTGGATAACCCGGATGCGGTTTAAAATCTTCGCAGATGATTCAGGTTAACCACCTCGTAGAGTATAAAAACCTTTCTTTGGCCTTTGGCAGGCTTCCATGTAATCAGCGCCTTTCCATAATCCTGCCCACTGCCCTTCCACCCTTGAGAGGAGCCGCCAGTGAGATCGCTTTTGTGTGACACAAAAGCCCTCACCCAATGGTGCGCGAATTAGCAGAGCTTAAAAAGAAGGCCGGGGTTGAGGCCTGAGCCGGGGGTGTGGTCACGGGGTGGGCTGGGGGCGGGGCCGCATGCGCACCGGCTGCCTTCCAACGATCTTCAGTTGATCTTCAGCTGCCTTCGCCGCAGTGGTCACCGTTGGTAGCCCTCGGAGGGAAAGCTGTTAACCTGCGTGGTCACCAGCATGTCTAAAGGAGACGGTTCCCTGGTTGGAGGCAGAGAGAAAGGAGAGGAGCAGGTCGGAAGCCTGGCTTGGCTGCACCTGGTGGAGCAGGAGGAGGAGGAGGTGCTGAAGAAGGAGGAGGAGGAGGAGGAGGGCCAGGACTGCTGCTCCGACGACGTGAGCCTGCACCCGGACCTCCTGGAGCTGGTGGTGGACCGAGAGAAGTGCCGCAGCATCCGCAGGCAGTACCGGCAGCTCATCTACAGTGTGCAGCAGAACCGCGAGGACATCGTGAACACAGCCAGCGACTCGCTGACCGAGGCTCTGGAGGAAGCCAACGTGCTCTTTGATGGCGTGAGCAGAACCAGAGAGGCGGCCCTCGATGCCCAGTTCCTGGTTCTGGCTTCTGATCTGGGTAAAGAGAAAGCGAAGCAGTTAAACTCCGACATGAGCTTTTTTAATCAAGTCGCGTTCTGTGACTTGCTGCTGGTCTTTGTGGGCCTGAACTGGGTGGAGGACCATCGCGAGGAGTTGAGCGACTGCGATGACTGCATAGCGCTCTCCTTCTGGGGGATGGTGCAGAAGGAGGCGGCGTCCTGGATGCTGCGGGCTGAAACGTTCCACTTCATTTATGGCTCATTTAAGGCAGAACGTTCCGCACGAAAGCCCCGGCTTGAACATCACAAGAGAGCTTGCAAAATGGAAGGGAATGGAGATATGCCTACGAAGTTGAGGAAGCTGGAGGTGCATGCCAACCAGGAGACGACAGAAAAGGAAGTAGAAAGAATCTTGGGGTTGCTGCAAACCTACTTTCAAAAGTACCCCGATACTCCCGTGTCCTACTTCGAGTTTGTGATCGACCCGAACTCGTTCTCCCGCACGGTGGAGAACATCTTCTACGTGTCTTTTATCATCCGGGATGGCTTCGCAAGAATCCGGCTTGACCAAGACAGGCTGCCCATCCTGGAGCCCACTAACGTCAGCCAGGGGGAGGAAGAAAGTGACTACTGCTCTTTCGGCAGGAAACAAGGAGTTATATCTTTGAGTTTACAGGACTGGAAAAATATTGTCTCCACTTTTGAAATTTCAGAGGCCATGATCAAAAACCCATATTAAAGATTTTTGTTTGTAGTGCGTGACTCGATCTTGTATTGACGCTCTCAGAATAGAACCTGAATAGAAGCCTGTGCCCTAGTAAACTATTTTCAAGAACAAGTCAATTGCCTACCGTGCAGTGTATTTTTTTTTTTTGATAACTTATAAGGCTGTAATCTTATGGGAAGTTTTTCATATCCACACGATACTTTTAGTAAGCTCTTGAGTTTCTTGGAAGGTATTAGCCGACGTGCTAAAAACAAAAACTGGGTCTCATACTGAACTGCTTTCTCTGTCCTGGTGAACTCGGGGTCCTGTAAGGGGGGGCGGAGGGGGCTTTTTATCAAGCGGGGAAAGGGTGAGAAAAAAGGACCAGAAAAAAAAATCAGTGTGAGTCAGTTGTTGGGCAGTGTTGAGACTGAAAAACATAGGTGACATGCTTCCTTTCAGGAAGTAGATCGCTATATTCCAGTTTCTTTTCTGAATGACCTTAATAAGAAAATGTGTGTGGGGGTGTGTGTGTGCACGTGTGTGTGTGTGTGGTGTGTGCACGTGCATATGTATTCATGCATAGGCATGCCTGCTGTTAGACTCAAGCAACCAAAGCATTCTGAGAGTTTTGTTTTTGTTGTTTTGAGGCAGGGTCTCGCTTTGTAGATCTGCCTGTCCCGGCCCTCATAGAGATCTACCTGCACCTGCCTCCCAGCTGCTGACATTACCCGGTGTGCATCTCCTCCTCACTCTTCGAGGAGGCATTCTGGGTAAGACAACAAGGTCGAATGTGTGGGCCTGGCAAGTCTGGAGAGGACGTGCAGATTCGTAGAAAACCTTTCTTCTCGAGTGCTAAGCTGGGCAGGAATCGTAGCCGCTGTTCCAGTCTTCTCAGAGGTAGACGATACTTTCATCACACCCAGTGGCTTTATCTTTGGCTAATCTCACCACTCTGATTTCTACACAGTGTCCTTCAGAATCAGCGCAGGTTCAACACGTAACAACTTGGGGTACACGTCCCAATTAACCTTGATTAAAAAGTGGAGGAGATGATGGAAAGGTGGCTCAATGTTAGAAGCACCGACTGCTCTTCCAGAGGTCATTAGTTTAATTCCCACAACCACGTGATGCTCACAATCCCACATAACAGACCTGGTGTTCTGTTCTCTCTGGCGATCTCTGTCATGCAGGCACTACTGTACAAGTAGCGCACTCATACACATAAATAGTAAAAAACATCTGAAGAGTTTTGCTCTGTATCTGAGCCTGTATAGCAAGATTTGTGAATTCTCCATCTACCCCTAGGGCTTGTGCCACAAACACCCCGTTTCTTGTGGGTCTAAGTTGGATGGAGCCAGGTGCTGATTTGAGGAGTCCAGCTGGCAGTATAGCCTTTTGCTTCTGGAAGATGCCGTCAGAGGAAGCAGGACTCTGGATATTGCACGATTTTTCTTTCTTTCTTTGGTGCTTTTCAGTTTTAAGACTGTAAATTATGGGCCAGGTGGTGGTGGCGCACGGCTTTAATCACAGCACTTGGGAGGCAGAGGCAGGTGGATCTTTGTGAGTTCAAAGCCAGCCTGTTCTACAGAGTGAGTTCCAGGACAGGCTCCAAAGCTACTCAGAGAAACCTTGCCTTGAAGAATGTAAATCCCAGGACAACTGAGGATGTAGTTCACTGGTCGAGTGCTTGCTTAGCCTGAGTGCTGCCTTAGCTTCTGTCCTCAGCACGAACGGTGTCTGTATTGTTTGGTGGTCAGGGTAGAAAATCAGGGTTATTAAGATAGTTCCAGAAGAGGCAGCAGACATGGCCTGAGCTATTTCTTACCTTTTTATGAATGTAAGTTTCCGATGGTGGAAGATTTTGCCACTGGTGTGGTTAGTGGTGTTTTTGTTATGCTTAATAATAACAGTAAAATTTCCTCCTGGATCTAAGGTAATACAGGGGAGGGAGATGCAAAGTCTAAATGATACCAAGCTTGAGAGGAGGGATGGGATCTTGGTGTGGAGAAAGTTCTTTCCTTCACACCGGTAATGTAGAGAGAACTGAGGAGAAAACCCCTTGGGAATGAAGAGACCGCTTCCTGTAACAGCTGTCTCCCCCTTTTTGGACCTGAAGTGCTCACCCTTCCAGCACTGGCCACCCTTCAAGGTGAAGGGCAGCGTCGTTTGGTCTTGCTGGTCCTGGGGCCTCTCAGCCAGAGCCCCGGGGTTTCAGGCCGTCATCCTGGGGTCTCTGAGCCAGAGCCCCGGGGTTTCAGGCCGTCATCCTGGGGTCTCTGAGCCAGAGCCCCGGGGTTTCAGGCCGTCATCCTGGGGTCTCTGAGCCAGAGCCCCGGGGTTTCAGGCCGTCATCCTGGGGTCTCTGAGCCAGAGCCCCGGGGTTTCAGGCTGTCCTCTGTGGGAAGAGAAGACGCTGCTGGGTTACAAGACATGACTCAGTTCCTTAGCCAACCGACGGCTTTGTTGAATGCCTTTGCCTGGCTGTGTTCTGACGTGCAGAGACGGCTTAAAAACACGCTAGAAAATAAAGAGGCTTGGGGAGAGCTTACTTTTCTGGTCAGCGGGTGGGGTGGTGTTTCTACACAGGTGAGCTTGGCCTCTGGCCTGGGCTTTCGCTAGTTGTGATGGTGCAGTTCGTTGCATTATTTCGGATTAAACCAGGGACCTAGAAAGAGCATTGAGCAACAAGAGATGAATTCAGTTACAGAAATGAACCGAATCGCAAATCTGCTTGTCAAGGTTCATTAGAAGGGGCCGACTCTAAGGAGAGAGTGTGTGGGTTTTGTTTTATAGTTCGTGCGTGTGGGGCACATACACAACAGGGTTAAATTAGAAAAATGTATGGGATTAAATATAGTTGCTAGGTATGATGCATTGGGAAAAGTAAGAGATGAAAGATGTGTTTTGAGTGGTGTGTGTGTGTGCACGTGTGTGCACATGCTTGTATGTGTGTGCACATGCTTGTACATGTGAAGTCAGAGGACAACCTCTTCTTATTTTCTATTTATTTATTTATTTTGATTTTTTTTGAGACGGGGTTTCACTCTGTAGACCAGGCAGACCTCAGACTCACAGAGCTACACCTGCCCCATCTCCCGAGTGCTGAGATTAAAGACGTGCACCACCACGAAAGGGCAGCTTTTGAAAGTGGTTTCTTTTCATGTGTGTGATCTGGGGATTGAACTCGGGCATCGTGAGGTTTGTCCAGCAAGCACTTTTACTAACTGCGCCACTGGGCATGTTTTCCCGATATTTAAAAAAAAAACATTTTAAGTAATTATTTATTTGATGTGCATGGTCATTTGGAGGTCAGAGGACAGCTTTTGGGAGCTGGTTCTCTTTCTGTTATTGTGGGTACCAGGGATTAAATTTAAGTTGAGCTTGGTGGCAGGTGACTGTCTGTTGATTGATCTCACCAGCTCGGGCAGGTTCAATGCCATACCCTGTCATATCTTAAGTGACATCTGGCTTGGATTTGATGGGATTTAATGTGCACAAAGCACGCCCAGCACAGTGTCTGTCTCACCGTGGACACTCAGCACATTGCACGGCGCCGCCTGTTTCTGTGTTGACATTCACTTTGGGTCTCATACTTTTGAACTTCCTTACCTTTGCTCTGGGGACTCCCTTGCCAGGACTGTCACGTGTACACTGCTCACTGACTCAGCGGCTGGCAGGTGCCTACAGTGCTAGGCGCTGCTCGGGTTGCTGGAGAAGAGCGGCAGAGCAGGACTGGCAGCGTCCTGGGATGCCGTTTTCTTTCTGCTGAAGTGACACATGGCCCAATCCCCGGTAGCCTCAGACAGTACGACCATAACGACCGCAGCAGTCTCGGCAGCTGGGTGTCCAAAGTGGGTTTGGCTGGACGAAAATCAGGACGTTGGCAGCCTGGCTCCTATCTTGGGGAGCTGTGCTCATTGATCACGTTTTGAGCGGGACACCGTTTAGCTGGAGCTGAGTGAAAGCCAGTTTAGTTGTAAGTAGGGTTAAAATGACAGTGTAGTGCTGTCCCGGGTCTCTGCATGCTCCGGTTGCTCGCGTCTCTCCCGTTACACCTTACAGAGTCGGGCTCCTTCGCACACTTAAAAAAGAAGCTGGTTGGGGCTGGAGAGATGGCTCAGAGGTTAAGAGCACTGCCTGCTCTTCCAGAGGTCCTGAGTTCAATTCCTAGCAACCACATGGTGGCTTACAGCCATCTGTAATGAGAACTGGCACCCCTTCTGGCTTGTGGGCACACATGGAAGAAATGCTGTACACCTAATTAAATAAATAAATATTTTAAAAAAAAGCTGGTTGATATCGTTTGATTTAAAACTTGAACCGTAGAATTCATTAGATAGAAAATTTTGGTAAAGAACACTTTAGACTGCTTTAGATGGGGTTTCTATTGCTGTGAAGAGACACCATGACCCTAGCAACTCTTATAAAGGAAAGCATTTAATCAGAGCTGGCTTTCAGCTCAGAGGTTCAGTCCATTATCGTCATGGCAGGAAGCATGGTGCTGGAGAAGGAGCCGGGAGCCCCATGTCCGGACTGGCAGGTGGCAGGAAGAGAATGCCACCCTGGGCCTGGCTGGAGCTGTGGAAACCTCAAAGCCAGCCCCCAGTGACACACTTCCTTCCACGAGGCCACACCCCTTACTAGTGCCCTCCCTGTGAGTCCATGGGGTCGTCACAGACCTGGAGGAGGGAGTGTGTGGCCTTTCAGGATGCATTATATCAGGATATTCTTCTAGCCCGGTCTGCTTAGGTGTAGTGCAGAAGGTCGGGGTGTGTACATGCAGTCAAAATGAATTTGAGATGATCATAGTTATTTTTAAGTCGAATTTTTATTTATAGGGTTCCAAATATGATTCCTTTGTCCACTGAGGTCACTGAAGTTCAAGATTTCTAAGATAGTCTTTTCCAAAGAACAAATGCTTAACCTAGTTGTGACGTCAGCCCATAACTGTGATTCTGTTACCTAAGTGGTGTAGAGACAGGCGCATTCGTGGCAACTTTAAAGTTCCCCATTGGAGATCTTTGGTTTCCAGTTTGTTCAGTTTACTT